TGTTTAGACAAGTGACAGGTGCTGGGGTCAGAGGTTATAACATGTTAGGCACATGGACATGGATTATGGATTGACACTTCTATTTCCGGCAGCACTTTCATTTCGTTTGCATTTCATGCACTTTTATTTAATGGTTGTCATGCAAAGAATGGAAAATTTTCAGGAACTTTCGAGAATCCGTATATGAAATATATTTACAATGTATATATGAAGTGTTGAAATATAGATAAAATTGTGTTAAATATTATGGAAAGCACTTCTCTTTCGAGGTCCTCCATCGTTTTAATGGGTTTTTGCCGAAATAGAAACTAATATTTTGAGCCTGTGAAGGTTAATAGACTTTTGAGCACTTCAGGGTTCCCAGTTAAGGTACAGTACCCTCTCGATGACCATCGAACTGCTCCATTTGATTTGCATGCGGAGACACGCAGGCACTTTTGGGTGTTCAAGTTCACGGCTTGATTTATGGGCCACGCCAGCTCCTTGAGTTCTTTGGGCCACAGGTAAACAAGAGCCCAAGGACCCCAAGGACCCTCCTCCACAGGAAAATTCCCTATAAAGAGGCGAGACCTTGGCGAGCAAATTCACAAGTCCATTAGGAGTTCGTTGGGTGTTTCCCGCGCTGATGGCAGTTTTACGATTGTTGACAACAAATTGACACGATTTGTAATGGTCCTGTCCAGGTCAGGTCATCTAGCAGTCCGGGCGGCACGTTGCTGCACAAGGACTACCCACCCTCATATCCATTGCTATTTATCTGAAGGATCGGAGTGATGGCGGCCAGTGCTGGAGCGAGCAGCTGGTCGGGCAGCAGTGGAGGCAGCAACTCCTCCCAGGGACGATCCATTGCCACAGCTCAACCGCCGCAGGAGGAGAGATTGGTGGTGAGTGTGTACTGTATGTAGTTTTTAATAAGTAGACACTCTTCCAGAAACATTCACATTTTATTTAAGAATTAGCTAACTTGTAGTAGCTGATAATAAGTTCCCAATCCTACCTAGGTGGCAGTTCGGGTTCGACCCAGCATGGAGGCCACGGAACGGTGCATCGAGGTCGTCTCCGGCGGATCACTGCTATACGATGATGGCGGCAAGAGTCGTCCACGGCAGTATTCGTACGATCATGTATTCCGGGAGAACGACAGTCAGGAGCAGGTTTACAAAACGACCACGGCTCCACTGGTCAGGGATGTCCTGAACGGTCTGAATGCAGCCGTTTTCGCCTATGGAGCCACGGGATCCGGAAAGACGCACACTATGCTGGGGCCTGTGCCGCGCAAGAAACCGCAGACCAGCGACCGTGCCCCGCCCACCGCATCCTGCGAATCCTCGGACGTGAGCAGCCAGGACATCGGACTAATGGTGCGCGCCATAGAGGATATATTCAGTCACATCGAGTCGGCGGATGCGGATTCCTGTCGCGTCTCCATATCCTACCTGGAGATATACAACGAGCTTATACGGGATCTCCTCAATCCGGGAGGACCGTTGGAGCTGCGAGAGGATCATCGTGGCCAGCGGATCACAGTGGCGGGGCTCTCGGAGATTACCACTTCCAGCAGAAAGGAGGTTGTGAGTCTGCTGCTCAAGGGAAACAAGGCCAGGACCATGGAACCGACAGCCGCGAATCAGACCTCGTCCCGCAGTCACGCCCTTCTAAGTATTATGGTTCAGGCAAGGACTCCGCTGGGCACCAAGCAAGGACGACTCTTTCTCACCGATCTGGCTGGATCGGAGCGGGCCAAGAAAACGAAGAATCGGGGTAAGCGACTGCAGGAAGGTGCCCACATAAACCGCAGCCTGCTGGCACTGGGCAACGTAATCAATGGACTATCCGGCGGAGCTAGGTATGTCAACTACCGGGACTCCAAGCTAACCAGGCTGCTCAAGGAGGCATTGAGTGGACGCTGCAAGACCGTAATGATTGCCCATGTCGCACCGGAAAGTAAACACCGCGACGAGACCAAGAACACGCTGGTTTACGCCGATCGAGCTAATAGCATCACCACCAAGCTCCAGAATTCCGTGTACATCGACGAGTTCAAGGACTTTCCCACCAAACACTACCAAAGTCTCGTTTCGGAGCTGCGCGATGAAGTGTCGCGTCTGCGCACCAAGATGCTAACCGAAAGGCCTCGGAGTGGAGCAGCTGCAGCAGCGGCAGCCGCAGCTGCTTCAGGCTCCGCTGCAGGTGCCGGATCAGGAGCAGGACCGGAAGCTGTCCAGGAACAGGACGAACAGCGCAAGACGGAACTCCGTTACCTGCGCGAACAGATCGTGCTCACCTTCAAGCAGCAGATGAAACTGCGTAGGAAGCTCCTCGAGGCCGAGAGCCATCTACTGGGCTTGGAACTGGACGCAGAGAGGCAGCACATGATCATCTCCCACTGGCAAGGACGCATTGGGAAACTATATGACGCGATGGGCGATGACGGTGGGTACTCCAACAATTTACTGATCAGGTGGAACTCATATTTGGTTGGTTTTTCCGCAGACATTGAATCAGAGGGTTCGGTGGCTTTGAAAAACGCCTGGGGGGAACTGGCGGCCATCGAGAAGGAAACGCGCCGCTACAAGGAAATCCGCGAGAGGACGGAGCACGAGCTGGAGCAGTGCCGCCAAAAGGGAGTCAAGCTGGAGGATGTGAGTCTGAGTGGAACGTATTTTATTCATTTATAGTCAATATTGTCGTGCTTTCCGAACAGGAGCTTCCAGAGCGCATTAGCAGTGACGAGGAACGGGAGCTGCTGGCCCTTCTCTGCCGCGTCCACGAGTTGGAGGCGGACAAGGTATCCCTGCAGGCGGAGCGGCTGGCTCGCCAAGCGGAGCTGCGCAGACGTGACCTTCAGCTCCTCAGGGCAGAGCGACAGCGACGCCTCTGCGAGGACATCATCAGCTCCCAGAGGAGGCTCATCGAGGAGGGCAACGTGGATCTGCCGGATGAGTTGCGGGAGCTCTATGGGCTTTACCAGCAGGAGATACATGCCGGCGTGGTCACACCCAGCACCAGCAACTACGAACGGAAGCTACCGCCCATCTATACCGCGGGGTAAGGATTCATTTTGGTATAAATATATTGGTTTTTAAATGGACACATTTTCAAAAAGGTCTGACTCTCCCGGCTCCAGTTCCAGTTCAGAGTGGTCGCCGGCCTCGCCCCTGCCTCAAATCGACAACCAGATGGATCCCGTCGACCGAGTCATGGGTCCACCTGTCAATCCGCGTCTGCCCCGACTTGCGAATGCTCCAGCCGGAGGAGCACGTCGATCTTCGTTAAGGGTGGCCAGGAATCCACATCCACATCCGTAGGATTGACGGTCACCAGTGGAGAGGGAGGTGCTCAGGAATAGTTGTAACTACGGCCTAGGATTGTTAGGAAGCGAAATCGAATGTCTGCTCAATTTACTCATTGTTTTATAGCTTTCCATCCCAAGCACTTATATGTTATAATCAAAATTTAAGCTTTAAGGAATTCAAAGTCTTTAAAATATAAATATTGAATCAGCTTGGAATCAGCTGAAGACCTACAATATTTTTGTTCTGAGGAATAAGTTATTTGATGGTAAATACATAATTGCAGTTCAAATTTCTTGAAGTGAACTTACTACACATTGCATAAACAACTGGCCACTAAAACATCGAACTGTATTCACATTGTACCATATAAATACCGTCGAAGATCAGGCTGCGATTCTTGCGATAGGTTCCAAATATGTGGACGTAGGTGTGCTGCTCGGCCAGTTGCAAGGTGAACCATTCCATCTGAGAAAAGGACGGGTTTCTACCATCGCTGCTGCTGCTCATTCCGACTCTAAAGCCCCCTGATTACCTCCTTGGTGGTCTCCAAAAGGGAATAAGTGGTGTGCGTCAAGGGGTTCATCATCAGTGAAAAGAGAAGTGGTTGTATGGAGCTGACAAATACCATCTACAGGCACTCCAGTTCCGATTCGATTGCACTGTGGCCACGGCAGACTCTGACCATCATGTATCCGACCCGTATGCCACTCCACACATTTCGCAGCAAGTAGCAAAGAAACACATACCTGAAGTTGAAGGTAAATTACATTTTACTGTTCAATAAAGGCGATTATTTGGAAATATGTATATACATATATGTATTTGCCATACTTTCCTCTTAAACGAAACCTATTTAACGAACTCACCTGAATACGAAGCAAACTTCATCCGTCATATCAACCAGGGACTGAAAAAAGGGTTGCAGTTTTCGCAGACGATGCATCATGTCCGGAAACGGATTCCCATCCAGAATCAGCATCTCCAGACCAGACTGCAGACGCCACCAGTTCCGGCAGATCTCCAGCAAGCGCCCAAAGGCCATCGAGTTCGTTGCAACGATCATGCATTCAGAAAGGAAACAGTTGCAGGGATTGTTGCTTCCTCTCATAAATCAGTTTACATTCAAGGCGACATGAAGGGAGAGTCGTACGATCAGGAGAAAGGTCACTGCCCCCACGAGTGATTTGCTGATCGCCTCCAGTTCTAGCAGTTTCATAATAAGCGCAACCCATACAACTGAGCAGGGATAGAACGTCGTGACGCCATTCAAGATGCAGAACCACGTATATACTAGTTGTATAAGCCTTCTGTGGGTTATGGTCCTATCATGGTCCCTTTTGAAGTCCTAAACGGAATCAACTGAATTTTCAGTTACAAGCAAAAATGATTTATATTCCCTCCACTGAAATCAATCAAACTTTGGGAATACAATTTGTATGGTAATTACGATAATTACCGATTTTTAGTGCGATAAATCGATATTTTCCCCAAACCCATTCTCCCATTCCCCAAACATTTTTATGTATGTTTTAAGTGGTTTTGCAAGGTAAATTAAGGAGATTCTTACTTGACTATTTAACTAATATACAAGTTTCTATTGAATTTCGAGCTTGCTCAACACTGAAATGACGGCAAACTTTCGAAATCGAATTCGGTGATCGTTCTGCAAAGCCCATGGCTGCTCTGGAAATAATCGATATCGAAACTTATTGCATTCCTGCTCAAATGAACTTAACAATTCTGCGGAATTAAAAGAAATACGTTATGTCCAGCATAATATCAAACCACGGACATATTCTCTACCGGAAATGCGACTGCAGGAGTAAAACTGGGAACGACCTGCAGCTGCTGAATACGGATAATGTGACCAATTACGGATTTATGATGACGGGCAAATGCACGGGAGAGGCCAATCCACAAACTCTAAAGGTGAAGACCTTCATCAATCACGGTACTTTGGTGCTCCACAAGTGTCACTGCAACTCCCCATTCCTTGAAATCATAGATTTATTCAACTACGGAACCGTGATCAACTGCTTGAGTTCCTGTAAGTTGACTAAAAAATGTGACCTCAAGGCCATTGAAGTTGCAGAATATAGAGCACACATGGGTGAGTTTTATACAATACCAATCAAACAAATGATTTACCACTTGTACTGCATTCAGAATCCAAGGAAATAAGTGTGCCTGTCCAGAAATCACTTGATACACCATTGGACCTGAGTGCTTCAAATAGCTTAGTTTCATGCCCCGAGGAAACTACACAAGATTTTGACTTGCCAAAGGAATGCAACGAATCACTGGATGTTTCGCTAAATGCACAAAATTTAGAAACCCAAAAGGAATGTTCAGGTTTACCAAAGAAAACTCTAAAGGTTCCTAAGGAACCCGTACAAACCACCGAAAATTTGCCAAAAAAGCTCCGTGTGTACACAGTAAGCGAAGCTATCAAACAATCTACGCCACAAGAAGAGGCCCTTCCTGTCCAGAAGCCACATGCACCACAAATGTGTCCTAGATGCGTCAAATCCTTTCAGAGTTATGTTAACGATCCGAAAAACGCACCAATGCTGCCGAAAATAACTAAATTCAAGTGCCCCCACTGCCTAAACACCAAGGCCAACAAGATGGAGTACCAGGCTCACACGGCCATCTGTCAGCAGGAGCCGAAGCCCTACAAGTGCCTGGGATGCCGCTACAAATCCACCAAATCGTCAAGTGTTAATGGACACTCTGCCACTTGTTTCTTACTGCATGCCGTCAAGTACTACCAATCTTTTTGCCTTACATCAAAGCATTGCAGTAACTGAGAAACTCCAGTTGTTCTCTATTTAAAAATAATGGTTACTTTTTTTTATATCATTGGAATTTCGTGCGCTGTCTTATTGGTTACAGCGTAAATAAGTTCGTAGTTTACTTTTTAGGTCTTAGGTGTGTTTTTCTACTTTACGAAATCGTGCGAACTTAAAGTCAAAATATGATTTTTTTTATGTAATGCATAGCTTATACTTTTTACAACCATGAAGTGTATTTAATTTGTCAAAAGTGTTATTGAATTAAAACTGTCAAATAAAGGCATGCAGGAAACATGTCCACAGTTCAAGGAGAGGTAAATTCTTTTAGTGAGATTTGAGGAAAGTAAAGAGTCTATAGGCCAGCTGCATGATCTGTAAGTCAAAACTTGTACCATCAAATACATTGATTCCGTTTAATTTTGACTTACTTCAGTGAAGTGCACCATATTGACTCGGATAAGCCCGAAGGCGCCCAGTTTCTGTGTCCGCTGGCAATATTGCGTCCAGAGCAAATAGAACTTCCTGTACCGCTGACTTCCCAAATACCATTCCTGGCTTCGCAAGGACGATTCCAGCCCCTCCGACTGTAAATTTGCAATGTTACTGTATTTGTGGTTGTGGAACTATCCAAGCTGCCTCACCGCCTCCTCCAGTTGGGTTCCCCGAAGACAGATCTCAAAAGTGAAGCCCACCAGGACCAAAGTGGGTAAAATGTACTGGGCGATGATTACAGCATCTGATGTCTCCGACAGCATAAAGAGGTAGAAGCAGAGGGAACCAGCACCTACAAAGTTGCTCACCAGGAAGGCCACCTTGAAGATGTCGTTGTATCTTCGATATTGATAAATATGTAATTATAACAACTTAAATTAATTATTTCCTTTACTTACTTGCGACACAGTCCATTAAGAAACTGCTGCCTCTGAACTAGTAACCTGAGATCCGCAAAGAATTGGTTTTCGTTGGTCAAACTCTGGCGAGGATCGATGGCCGAAAACTTGCGGGCAAGGTGTCCCAAATGCATGACCAAATGTCCCTGCATCACATTGAACAGGTTGTCGAAGGTGATGAAAAAGGAGACGCCGCATGTGGTGCACATCAAGTCGATAAACCAGACCAAGAGGTAGTATTTTGGCTTTTTACGCACACCGAATGGCAGCCATCCGCCAAGGAGCTGCTCGTGCTGAGCTACAGGAGTGTCTTTACCCTCGTGGGTCAGGAGGAATAGGGCCAATGGCACAACGCAGAACATCGGACCACCGAAGTGGGCGTAGATACGGATAAAGCGATAGCGCTGCCAAAAGTTGCGGTACGTCTCATCCATTTGCATGTCCAACTGGCTGACCAGGTCCCGCGGGCACTCCCGATCCAAGTCGTTAACAAACTCAACGATTTCCCTTCGTTTCAGGAATAGCATCAGTCCCCTGATCGAGAAGTAAATGGTGATGCTGAACACGGGCGGATTCTGGTTGGCCGGTCGTCCCAGCCAAAGGTGTCCTATGATGTCCCAACCATTGCAGCTGAAGAACAAGACATTGAGTAGCGCCGACAAGCAGAAGGGCAACATGGATGCGTTCACCATGCTGTTGTCCACCGGACTCCTCCGCCACTGGAAATGCACCATCTGAGCCACCTTCTGGAACCACTGCGGGCGCAAGAACTCCTCCATTCGGTAGGGTTCTCTGATTTCCGTTGTCTTCATGGTTTGGCCAACTCACTCTTTTCTGCGTGGTTTTCAGTGTCTGGACTTTTTATATGGCAATTAATCCTGTATAATTACGAGTCTAATTGTTAGGGTTATGCCAGATTGGATTCTAAATTGCACGTTTCATGATCGCAGTAAATTAGCTACAGGCACATATCTACTTAGAAGTAAGTATCTTAAAAACTATGTCCGTAAAATTTTATTTCGTTTAAAAATGCCAATGATCTACCTAAATGCCTTAAAATAAAAATTGCAGTTCATTTAGTCTGACTAAAAATATAACTAAACATACTTCAAAACTTATTTAAATTGCGATCTAGTATTATTTTATAATTGCTTCATTTTCTCACCATCTTGTCAGAACTATAGGTTGTGCTTTTGCTAACACTAATTGCTACTCGGGCTAATTGCTTAGCTAGTGTTGATTTAATTGCAGATATTTAGATGTCGACACGTTCAGTAAAACTCATTTCAGGACTCTCTGCATAAAATTGATAAACCCTATTAAGATATTTTTTAGAGAATCTATAAAATATAAAATGAATTGTGTTAAGAACCGTTTTATTTAAAATGCATAAATAGATAGATCACAATAAGATATATTTTTTATAAATTCTATAAAATATAAAATTAAATATATTAAGAACCGTTAAAAATGCATAAATAGATTATTCACATTAAGATATTTTCTTAGAGAATCTATAAAATATAAAATTATATGTACTAAGAGCAGTTATATATAAACGTTCTTAAAAAGATAAAGCTTTAGAGGAATGCAACTAAATAACATATATTTTTGTCAGGTTTCCGTTCGCGTCGCAGGCGCTTGACTGTACTTGAAACTGAGCTATTAGCTGTGCGTAGTGAGTGCCCCTGGTGCATTTCGTAATTTTGTGCTAAGCATGCACTGCTCAAAACGGGGGTGAGTTTACGCTAACACTTAACGCTCTCCGCTCTTTAGCTAACTCATTACGTGAATGCGTTAACCTCCCCTCTTCATCCCCACCAAAATCAAGGCCGCCCCTTATCTATCGTTTTTTTGTATTTTTCTTTATGTGGGTCACAAACGGCGGCAAACATAAACAAATCGAGAGAGAAAGGGCGAGAGAAATGAAATTGAGAGAGCATGCGTGTATCTGTATCTGTATGTGAGAAGTATCTGGAAATGTATCTGCGGCCCTGGACGAGCGGTTTTCGTCATTTACAGATACACAGCTGTGAGAAGTTTGTTTTCCGTTCGCATTTGGATTTTGTAACCCAACCAGCGGCGGCAGCAGGTTGCTGTCGAATTGGAGAAGAAAATCGCTGAAAATAATTGATAATTTGTTCATATTATTCACAATTGACCAGAGTGTTAGTGGGCAGCTAAAGCCAAAAGAAATCAATCGTGGAAACGCACAAAATCGGAAAAACAAAGGAAAAACGCAGTTCTGCAACGCATAGCACATTTTGAAAAATAGAAAACGAACGGGAAAAATCGTTCAAAACAGAAGGAAATGTGTTTACAGACGTTAAATACAAGGGAGTTTTAGTGCTAGACTGCTTAAAGTTTGAAATAATTACAAAAAAAACGCAATCACAAAACCAAAGAATCACATATAGACAGCACAAATTATGATAAAACAAGTTCCCAAAACATATGTAAGCAATTAATAACATATTTGACAATCCATGACAAGGTTGTAACCAAAACTCTAAAAGAAAATACTCAAATAATTCAGTGACTTCATCGAACAGAAGGTTGAGATTTAATTGAGTTGCTGCATGGGGAATAGTCTGATAACGAGTGGAAAACCGAGTCAGCGCCGTGAAAAGAGGCTTTTCGAGAGGCTGAGCTGCAGCTACGCTCAGGTGAGTTGTGTACACATTCGGAAAATTCTGATGGGGTGGCTGGGAGTAGAAGGTGGAAAAACGCATTTAACCTTGGCAACCAAACTCAGACGGCCCAAAAACAGGTGGGCAGGTGCATCGAACCTTCACGGGGGAGGATCACAAGAGAAAACCTTTAGGTTATTGCCATGGTTAAGTGAAAATTCTAATGAGGACTTGTTCTAGGAATATGGCCAGTAAAGTACCATTACTACTATTTATTAGTATGCTCTTAAGCAAGTAAAGAACGAGGTTATTCTTTCTCATTCGCTTCCCAGGCTCCCAATAGAATGGAGTTGAACATGAATCCCCTGCTGGCCCTTGCCCGTTCCATTGCGGCGCCTCCGACACCGCCTCCAACCCCGGAAAAATGGGACTCGGAAAAGGATAGGGATAAGGATAAGGATATAGAGGGTCACCCAAAAGCTGCCATCGAACTGCTGCCCAACGAGATGTGGCTGGAGATCATGTCCTACCTTTCGTACAACGACCTGCAGCAATTGCGCATGGTGTCCTGGCGGTGCCGCGATCTGGTTCATCGCCGCCGATTCATGGAGAAGGGCAAGGTGATAGTGACGCAACACAACCTGGAGGCGATCCACAAGCATGCGAAGGGCAAAAACTGCTACTTAAGCTTCGAGCGGATTGAATTGCGGAATCTACGCCAGTGCCGGCAGCTGGAGAACTTTCTACGCTTCGTGGGCCACGAGGTGAAGCATCTGCAAGTGCGCCATGCTCCTGTTTTCCGGAATCTGGATGGCAAGTTACCAAACTTGAAGGTTCTGACCATTGCCACGACCAGTTCCATGGATGACCATCATCTAAAGGCGGTTGATGGCCTGGACATGAAGCAGTTTTCCCACCTTGTGGGATTCGAATGCGATGGCGTGAGCTTGGACTCTTCGCTAAAAATGCTAATGTTGTTGCAGCTGCGACGCTCGGAGAACAAGGTGCAACTGCGGCACCTGCAATTCGAGTTCCGGCGGAACAACGAGAACGCTCTACTCGATGTCCTACAGGATCATGCAGACACCTTGGTGTGCGTGGACCTATTCTTCAGCTGCTCGCCGGGCATCGACACACATGTATGGTGCCAAGCCTTCGAAAACATGCACAATCTGCGCACTCTCAAGCTTTCTGGAAATTGCCATCTGGTCCTGTTGGAAGCCGTGCTCAGAGCCGTTCCGGAGTCAGCACCAATCCGTCAACTGGACTTGACCGGAATGCTATCGCTCACCAACGAATTGCTGCTCTATATAGCTGGCAAGTGGCAGAGCACTTTGAAGGTGCTGGATCTCATGTTTTGTGTCCAACTCAACGCCAATTGCATTGATGCACTGCGCCAGCTGAGCGGTCGGTTGGAGGCATTAACCATGGCTTACTGCAGGGAGCTGACTGGAATGGGTTTGCTTCAAGGGCTGGCCGGCAATATTAACTATAG